TGAAGGATGAGAGGAGAGGCAGTGGACTAGAATGTTTTTACTACTTNGTTCTTTTATGCGGACACAAAGTGGTCTACCCGTTTCCCCGATATATTCCTCGCCGCATGCATTACATGAGATCAAGTATATTATACCTAAACTCATGCAATCCCCGTCTCTCCCGTTAGGACAGATCATACAGTTTTCTGAGCTGCACAAACGATCATAGAGACGGTTTCGAACTAACTGGCGGCGTAGGGTATTGGGTGGGATGTCAACAATCGTTACATAATTTTCAAGACCACTTTTTCTTAAGCACTTTTTAATGGCGTGACTTACTTCATTTGATATGAAGGGCAGCTTAAAGGGAATCTTATTTTCGTCTGAAATATTATTTTGGGAAACTACCCAGTGTTTTCCTCTAACCCGAGTGGCTTCTACTTCGTAGCCATGGGAAATGGCAATTTTTCGTGCCAGGTTTCGCGATTCCTTCCTTTCCTCTTCTCCTGTGCACACATTTTTAGCCGTACGATACATATTTTTGATAAGTGCTTTTTTCATGTGTGAAGGATGAGAGGAGAGGCAGTGGACTAGAATGTTTTTACTACTTGGCTTGCGATACCATTTTCTTAAATAGCCACTTACTGAGAGCTTTATTTGGATGTTTAAGAATGGAAGCCAGTTCTCGGTAGGTTTTTCTCGTGTAAATTTTGTATACTCTGACTGTCGGTTTAATAATTCAAAGCACTCATCCATCTGTTCTTGTGTGGAACAGACGATGAAGCAGTCGTCTATGTATCGACAGCAGAGTAAGGGTCGGTGATCGAGAACTGGAGCTTCCACCTTAGACATGAAAGCGATGGCAAGGGTTGGTACTAAACGCTGCCCCACGGCCAACCCTCTAATTTGTGAAAAATATTTTCCAGACCACCTAAAGAGTGAACAACTAAGACACTGTTTTAAGAGAGTCACTAGTTGCGCAATCGACAACCCGTGCATTTTTATTTTCTTTTCGTGCTCTACGAGCAATTCGAGAATGGCTTGCATTGCGGAGTCATTGGACACGTTGGTATAAAGTGAACTAACATCGAATGACTCCATTACATGCGTGCTGTTTGGTTGCGCGCACCGTAGGTGGTCTAGGAATATTTTGGTGTTAGGTAGATGGGTTGGAATGAATTTTAGCAACTAGGTTAGGATAAGGTTTAGGAACCACGTTATTCTATCGGTTGGCCCGCCTATACAACTGATGATAGGTCTAACTTTATATGATGATGGGTTCGTTGACGTAATATCATCAGTTGAAGCAAGCTTATGAGTTTTAATAAGCAAGTAAAGGACAGGGCAAATCGGATGTTCGTTTTTAAGTCGGGAAATAACCGAAGACTCTAAACCCGCGGCCTTTGCCGTGCTGACCCATTCTTGATTTAATTTTCGGTATTGGTTTCTATATTCCTTTTCAGAGGATGCTCGATAGAGAGAAACATCATTGATCCTCTGTTATCCTAATATCCAATTGACTAGGAATAACTACAAATTCTCCACCTTTATAACTAATAGAAAGTCTAACAGCTTTTGAATTCAAAAGCTCTCTAACCTGGCGCATACCACACTTTTGTTGGTGTATGAGGTAGGAGCTTATTTTTCGTTTTTGGTAGTGATTAAGTATGCGGAGAATTTCGTCCGAAAATAAACGAAATGTAGGGTCAATATCACTATTCGGTAGCTCTTGTTTAAAAAAAGTTTGGGGAAAGGGTATTGCTGGTAGCTCTCCCTTGGTACTACTTTACCTAGCCTTTCCAGCCTAACCTTGTAGCGTAGCTGATCTTGAAGTTCATGAAGACTACACGTAATCCTGCGCAGGATTGGTTTAGAAATGGGCTGACTAGGTGCAAAACTCGGACCCAATTCTAACAGGGAACGCACATCTTCCGGAAGCGTTATACCTCCTAGCACAGTAACCCTGGATGTTCTTGGTGCGCAGTCTATTTTAGGGTTTTTACTTTCATCTTGACCAGCGGTAGTCCTATGATTTAAGCTTTTTGAGCGGCGTCATAGGTCTTCATACTTTTTCCTTAAACGTCCTTAAAATACGTCCAGGCTCTGAGGAAGGTGAAGTCGCCGAAACGTTCAGCCATCGACCAACAACATCAAAAACAACGACAACGACAACGAAGACCTGTACCAACCTCGCGTCAACTTAAGAAGATCAGTTTATAAGACCATATAAATAAGTATATCAGCTATCTATGCCGAGGTTTATAGAAAGTCGGCCTTTCGAGCAATCTCATGTTGGTTCATCAACGCTGGTAACAAACATTAGAGTCGCACTGGCCTTTTCACTACATTTCTTCAAAGTGGTTCCTTTCTGGGCTGCTCCTAATAACTTTTTCAGCCTCTACCAAAGTAAAACTCCTTCGAGGATCTACTACGGCTGGCACTCATTATCATCCGTTTTCGTTGCGTTGTAGTACGAACACTCTTCAGTATCGTTCTGTTTTTGAGCAACTCCCTAGTGCTCTTGGAGATGCAGTTTGAACTTCTTGTCTGAGGAAGGGATGCAAGTTCGGCAAAAATTTTAAGTCCTTCGACAAGCGGCTTGGAAACCTTCTCGAGTCTTCTAATATATGCCAGTTATGTCTGAATAAGATTTCGTTCAGAGTGTCTTCGTCATGTGTGGCTTAAATTTTACTTCTTGGTCAACGACATGAATCCTTTCTCAGCTTACGGCTGAATCGAATATTCGCACAAAGGAAGCGGTGATCGCACCCAGTACAGAATGACGGGACTACAGTTGTGTTAAGTAGACACCATCCTCTGCTTTTAAGTATATGGTCGATCCCTGTATGTGTTGTGCAGTTAGGAGACCGTATTTTCATTTTTTCTCAAAGATCAGTTCTCATAGGCTCGATCCCACACGGAATGCGATACTAGAATTGTCTGAACTCAGTGCCATCATTCCACAAAAACTTCCTATGACAGAGACCTCGGAATGCCCTGGCATAGCTCTCCCAGGCCTCTACGGAGAATCTACTCGGTTAACTTTCAACGACGTTCATGGTGTCGAGCATAAATCCTCATTTAGCATCTGGGCCGACACGCGAATCCGATGGTCATCGTGGAATGCGAGCAGGCGGATCGAATACCGGATCCACGGAGATTTGCAAAACGTGTGATGTCATGTCATTAAAATTAACTGATGAAACAAAAGACTTAAAACAAAACGAATAATAAATAAAGATGCGATGTGTACGTTGACATCAGCTCAACGTGAATGTGTTCCAGGATTGAGGACTCGAAAAAAGGGTATGGCTGTTTGCTAGAGAATTTTAGCTTAGGCTTAGCTCACTAAATAATCTCAGCATAAGCGAGCGATCTCTTATGGAGTAAAACGTCTCGTTGCGGTGTTGCGTGGTGTGAGCTCGTCTCCCTTACAAGTCCCTCCACGTGACGAGACGAGCGCTTCTGATTGGCGCGGACTAGTTTAGACCGCGTCGACCAGCCTTCGGTGGCGCTTCTCCACCGGATTTGACCTTCCTGTTAGTTTTCCTGGATGTACTGATTACGCTGACTCTTTGGCTCAGGCTTAGCTCATCAATTAATGTCAGCAGTAAGCGATCTCTTAAGGGTGAAATGTCTCGTCGTGGTGCTGTATGGTGTGTGTAGTGTGAACTCGTCTCCCCTACAAGTCGCTCGACGTGACGCGACAAGCGCTTATCAGCAAGGACTCGTTCAGCTCGTGTCGATCACCCTTTGGTGGCGCGTCTCCACAGGATCTGACCGTTGTTTTCGTTTTACGATTACCATCAGAAATCATATCTTGCTAGTTTCTCAGGAAGTTCTATTGTCGAGATTCGTTCAGGCAAGACCACGGTATTTGCATTGCTTGCCCAAGACGTTCATAAGAATTGCTTGTTAGCATTGTGTCGTTGGTTCCGCATGTTTGGATCATGCTACGTTCTTACGTAGCCCTAATGAAAATCCAGCTCAGATTCACTTAAAGCTTTGTCCATGAACTCTACTGTTGCATATTCGACACCAAATGAGTTCGGTTTCAGCGTCTGCTGTGTTCTGTGAATGAATCGCATTCTTGCCTCTCAGCTTTTCCTGATTCGACGCTTCAGTTCATCATCGAGGTGAGCACTGTTTAACTCTTCATCGTTTCATCTCTAGAGCCTTTCTTTGATGAAGCGTCAAAGAAATCAAAATCTTACGTCCTCCACCACTTATAATTTCTTGCCCATTTTACTTAGTCTCAGCGTGGTTAGGATTTCATTCAAACAACAACACACTGTGAGCCAGTAGAGTTCGAAGATAGTTCTGGTTGAAGTATTGTTGCCCTAGTTAGCAGATTTTCTAATAACAAAAGTAATATTTGGGGCAGACTTTGGTCTGGCTGAGCTTGGGACTCCAGGGAACCACAATAACGACAAGGACTCCAAAAAGTTGGAAATTATGCTGGGGTCCATACAGCCAGTGAAGATGGACCATCCAAGTAAGTATCGAAGTAGTGTAGGGCGATTACATCGTGTTTTCCAATAGCACTCTTGCCGCTACCTCAACCCATATGCATGGAAGGCTGTAGTTGTATTTAGCACAATGTATGACCTCTTTGTTAAGAGGCACGTGTGGCACAGTGGTCGGAGGAACCCTGCAATACACATGGAGTTGATTCCCGATGCACATGGCCCACCAAGCCCTCCTTCTCTGCGAGGTTCGCGAATTGGTACCAGACTTGTCTGGGAGTATAGCACCACTTGCTCGACACATCGATTGGCCACCGCGAGTCGTTGTAAAGGCCAGTATGAATTCAATCACCTCCAACGACACTTAGTGAAGTCGAATGCATGGTGCACTCTTCAGAGACTGATCATCGCCAAGAGCTTAATCCTTAATTCTTTGTGACTTCCTGGTTGAATTAAACTGCTTTGCTTGGTTATCTCTTAGTTTAATTCTTTGGGTGCTACTTCATGTTTGAAATGTAGCTCGAGTTTGATTCCACTGCTATGCTTCAGCATCTTATGACTGTATTTTACATGAAGCGATCCCATGGAGGCAGCAGGAACGAATATTTATGGCAATTTCTAGGATTCAGGAAGCGGACATGCCTCTACGACTTGCATAAGAAGTACAATGGCAAGATCGTTCCATTTGCTGGATTCGATATGCCTGTGCAGTACTCAGATCTGAGTATCCAGGAATCGTCCAGGCATACCAGACAACACATCAGCGTTTTTGACGTGTCCCACATGTTGCAGACACATATCACTGGGAAGGACAGGTAGTACTTATTGCTTATGTTAAACATGACTTTATCCTCAAATATTTGGAATCTTTCTAGTTAAGGGTCGCTTTCATTGAAAGCCTTACTACGGCAGATATTGAAGGTTTGACGGAAAACAGCGGTGCGCTTTCTGGTAAGTATTAATCAAAGTCGTCATTGTTATCATTTGGGCGGCCCGTTCTCATTAGTTGTGCGGGCCTCAGCATAGTCTTCATTTTTCGGAGTTTTGCTGGTTTAGTCAGTGTATTTTCCTGAAGTCCCTAGATCAGCCTGGCCAAAGTCTAGTCTGCACTAGGTCGTCACCGCGGCAAGCACTCGCTGCCCTTGTGGATGAGAGGGAGATTTGTCACAATGCGACTAATTTGATACCAGGACAGTGGTGGATCGTGATGTTGGTTTACTCTTAGCTGGACTTCTTGGTGGAAACGCTAGATTCCTTCTCAGCTTCGGAGACCCTGCCAGGTGTACGGATCCCCCAGCTTTACACTGCAGCCCGACTCCCAGGAACACCTCTCAGCCACGATGAGGCGGTAAACCGATACGAAGTTAAGACTGTTTAGTCAAAGTACCATATCCATATAAAGAAAAGAGCGCTGTTATGACCACCACTGGGTATACTTAGTATTTTCACCACTCTTCCCATGTTTTTATTCCTTAATTCCAGTGTTCACCAATGAAAAAGGTGGTATAAAGGACGATTTAATCGTTTCTAAGACTGAACTTAACTACATCTACATAGTAACAAATGCTGGTTGCATCGATAAGGATCTACCTTATCTGCAGGTTGATTTTTGTTGTTCTTATAGAAAACGTATTTCTATGAAAGCTTTTCATTAAACTCAAACAGTCTAGGAGAATGCTGCGAAATGGAGGTCGAAAGGAAAGGATGTAGATGTTAAAGTACTTGACGGACAGGGACTGATTGCCGTTCAAGGTTGTTAAGTAAGATTTCTCGGGCCCATAACTTTTAATCTCTGTTTCATGTAGGTCCGGAAATGATGAAAGTTCTTCAGCCGGAGGCAGATATTGACCTTCGGAAGCTGACGTTCATGAAAACAGCTGTTGGCAAGGTTTTTGGTGTTGAAAACTGCAGAGTTACACGTTGTGGGTATACTGGAGAAGACGGTGTAGAGGTAGTAACACCACTTTCGAAGCACTAAGCGAGTTATTAGAGAACTTAGAATTTTCTGTTTAGATATCAGTTAACCCTACTGAGGCAGTTACTCTTACGGAAAGAATGCTACAATCAAAGGCATGAAATTTCATTGATTTAATTGAAACTATAAGGAACTTTTGAATTCGTGCTTGTTGCATCCATACTAAGGATAGTGATTTTCAGAACGGCAAAGTAAAATTAGCCGGTCTTGGTGCACGAGATGCTTTACGAATGGAAGCTGGTTTATGTCTTTACGGAAATGATATTGACGAGAACACAACACCAGCTGAGGCTGGATTGGCCTTCGTTGTTGGTTAGTTGTTTTTTTTTTGCGTTTTTTTTCTTTTTAGATACTCTGTTAATTAGACCTCCCAACGGTTTAGCTCTCGTCGTTGCTGGGAAATGTTCCTGGGTGTGGGGCTTCGATGAACAGCGAGGGTATTCATCACCCGACAGGGTCTGTCAAGCTGAGAAGGAGTCTGGCGTTTCCATCAGGAAGCCCATTTAAGAGTAAACCAATACCAGAATACACCACGGTTCTGGTGTCAAACTAGTCTCATGGTGGCAAATCTCCCTCTGATCCACAAGGGCGGCGACTGGTTGTTGTGGTGACGACCTGGGGCAGACTTTGGTTAGCTTGACTTCGGATCTCCAAAAAGTCACAATTGCTAAGGTAGCGATACTCCGAAGCAATTGAAATTTTGCTGGAGCCCGCACAACCAGTGAAGACGGCGTATCCAACTATCCAAATACGTAGGTGGTAATTAGAAACGCTAGAGTGGTGTATCTACTACATGATGGTGGTTATTTCAGAAGACGCAACATTTAAAAACTGTGGAAGTGAAGAAAAAGTGTGCTGTTCTTTCAAGTCTGTGTGTTCATTCAACCATTTCCGTCCACTTTCCTTTCATCTGTTTTATCTTTTAATTCCCTGATCTTTGACTGTGGTTAAGGGCAAACTGTTTCTAGAATGAAACCTTTCAGTTTTATTTATGTTTATAGGCTTTACATTTAGTAATTTTTTTTTTGAAAAGCCAAGGTATTTTCTATATGGCGTTTTAATTCCTTTTTTTTTTCGTAGCCAAAAGACGTCGTGAAACGTTAGGTTTCCCTGGTGCTGAAAAAGTTGTAGAACAACTCACAACGAAAAATTGGCCAAAGCAACGGGTTGGACTGATCGGAGAACCTGGCCGAGCTCCACGAGGTTGACGTTTTATTCTCGTTATTTGTTGGCAATCTTTAAGCCAGTTTTTTTTCGGTGAGGAATTTTTTTCAGCACATCTCCCTATAATTGATCCTCTGGATAAATGCGCCGTTGGTTTCGTGACGTCCGGATGTCCATCTCCTTGCACTAGTAAGATATTTGTACTTTTCGCTTGCATGAGGCGATCGTTTGATTTGTTTTTCATTTCAGGTCAGAACATTGGCATTGCTTACGTTGATAAGCCGTGCGCAAAGATTGGCAAAGAATTCCTTGTGGACTTTGGTTCAAAACAGTCCAAAGTCACAGTAGCGAAAATGCCATTTGTAAAGACCAACTACTATACACAATGTTCTTGAAGTATCAGATGACCGCGTTATTGTTATGTTCAGACGGCGTTGATGCTTACAACGGTGTAATTCCTCATTGCCTGCAGGTTCAATGGTTGTGATAAATAGTTTTATAGATAGTCCTACTTATTAGTTGTTTACTATTACATTTACAAAAAGATAAAAAGCATAAAGCTCTCGGCGCTGACCAATCCCTGAGGGATGCGCCATGCCTTCGACTTCATTAAGAATCGTTTGGAGGTGATTGAATGTACATCTCGCCTTTACAGTGACTCGCGGTAGCTCATTGATGTTTCGAGCCAGTGCTGCTATTTTCCCAGACAAGTACCAATTTGCCGACTTCGTGGGGAAGAGGGGCTTGGTGCGCCATAGGCGCGGGGATCAATTACGCGTGTGTGTCGCAGTGGCACCTCAGACCACTGTGCCACACGCGCCTCTTTTATCACGACGTTTATAGTTATTGAAAATGTGGATACATCAGTTTTGGTCTATTCGCTTCAACAGATACTATTCTTCAGAAGAATATATATTGTGCGGCAGTGGTCAGTGGTTATCTAAGCGCCCGGATCCGTGGAATAAGACGTATTCCGAGGAGATTTTTTGAGTACCGTATGGCGCAGTGGAAATTGCGATTAGGCTAACGAACGTTGTTGATTGTACGTGGAGTGTGTTGCTTCATATAGCATCTAGTTTTGAGGACGTGACTGAATCAGTGTGAGATAATCTTAACCTGGGAATGTCGCCCACTTTTTATCTACGTTTCATCATTTGATAAGAATTTCATCGGTGTTGGAATTTTAAAGGGTTACTTATTGAATACTTGGATGGTCATTCATCACTGGTTGTGTGGACCCAGCATAATTTCCATTGTCCGGAGGCTTGCTGGTTTAACCATTGCGCTTCCCTGGAGTCCCGAAGACAGTCTTGCGAAAGTCGGCCCCAGTTCGTCACCGCCACAGGCGGTCGCCGCCCTTGTGGATCACAGGGAGCTTTGCCACCATGCGACTTTGATATCAGGACGGTGGTGGATCCTAGTGTTCGCTTACTTTTAACTGGGCTTGCTGATGGAAACGTCGGCCTCAGTTCGGAGAGTCCCTGCTTGAGTGATGAATCCACAAAATTTGAATCTACTTTTGAGCACCTCAGATGGCGCGGAAAATCTGTGTACAACTTTTAGTTGAGAGATAACTGATGGTTTTAAACCAGCACCCCTTGCCATTTTGACCCATTCGTGGTTCAATATTCGGTATCTACTCTTGAACTTCTCAAATGACGGGCGATAAAGTGAAGTATCTCCAAAGTGCTTTTTCGTTATCTCAACGATGGGGAATTGCTACAAACTCTCCACTATCATCGCACGGATAATCTCATGTTTTTCAGCCTTGTCAGCTCTCGTACCTCTCGCCTACCACGTTTTTGCACTTCAGTGATGTTGGAGTAGTATCTTTCCGTGCGATAGTGATCAAGGACTTTAAAATTTTCAGACGTAAAGAACCCAAATTTAACGTCAACTTCATTACTCGGCTGTTGCTGTCTGAGGAAATGCTGGTATTGGCGGAACCTCCACCCGTTGTGGTTCGCACCTATTTAGCGCTTCATCTCTAGCTTTTTTGCGGTGTCTATCTTGAAGTTCATGCAAACTGCACGCGACCCTACCCAAGGTTACCTCAAAAATGGGTTCAGATGGTGAGAAACTTGGCCCCAATTCTAGTAACGAGTGCGCCCCGTCACAGGGAGACTCCTGCCTCATAACACTTAACCTTGAATTTTCTTCTACATTATCTACCCTACTGTGACTCGTTTTGTCTTCGTCAGCGGTGTTTCTGTGTGCTCTTGAAGCCACGTTATGCGATTTAGTTAAAAGGTCTTCGAACTTTCTCCGTACAGTTACTTCAGCATTAGACCTAATAGAGTGCAAATCAACACTGACTCACCCACTATTCTCCTCCAGAGACGGTCCTCTAAATACTGAACATCATAGTACTCCTTCGTCTCGCACTTCTTCCACTTGGCGAACATCTAGTTTAGTTTTCTTCGTAGACAGATGCGTAGTAAATCGAGCATCGACGATGTAGTCAAGGCAACAAACAACACCCGACTTCGTGCCCGCCTTTTCGACTCAACGGTACTTCCTGCCTTAAAATATGCGTAAGAAACTTGGTCGTTACGTAAGCATGATGAAAGATCACTCGGCATTATTGAACGCGCAGTCCAAAGGACGATAGTAGGATGTTCCCGTGTCACACAAGGGAAGGGATCCGATGCTCCGACCTCTGTCAACGATCAGAAATCAAAGATCTCGTTTGTTTGGATTTGACTTTGGAAAAGCACTGTACAGAAATTGTTCACGCAATTAATACTATAGAGCAAAGGGTCTTCTATTATCACTTAATGCTCTGAGCCGATTAAGTACACTACCGATGGAGAAATGATGACTCTTTATCTTTAACTTCACTATTCCACGTTGTTCTCAGAACAACACGAAGAGAGTCTAGTGGGTGGTAATGGGCGATAAACTGGTTGATTCCACATTCGACAGCAAATGGGTTTTGTGAAAAATGGCAGTAATTCTTAATAACTAAATTACTTGAGGACGTGAATGCCTGAATGTCCAATCCAGCTTACGGAAGAGACTTCGACCGCTCGTTGCATGAGTAATTTTTCTATGGCACCATACCCTACTCTGAACTTTCACTTCCGAATTTTATTCATCGAACACCTGCATGCACAAGCTGTGTTCTGCTTTACTGATAACCTCGCACCAAGTTGTTTCAAGTCGTTACTATGGCTGACGTTTTGAAAGCTTCGCCTTCTTAAGAGCCACAATGATTCGATTAGTTCACGATCATTGTTTATTCTAGCGATTTTGGGCTTCCTCATCGTTCCGTCAAGTTAAATTCGAGTTAAGTCGGACCATTTCCCATCACCCAATCAATTCATGTTCTTTCAGTTTTTTAAATATTTGAACTAGCCGAACTGGTGAAAATATGGATCTTCTCAAGCTCTTGAATTTCTTTAAGACTTCGAATACAACAGCTCTTTATTGCGAACACTTTATTTGAAAAAAACAGCGTTCAGAAAAGAAACCCGGGCAGTGGGAGGGACTACTACAACAGTTCATCCAGTCAGACGGTTGCTTCCATTCCACCGCTTGCAAAGGCACGAGACTCGCTGTAACGATTGTTTTGAGACCATAACTGTAGATAAAGATCGTTTGATAAAACATTTTGCAGACCCAGTCCCAAAAAATTGCAGGTTTTTTAAAAACAAACTTCTCTTCAAAGCTTGAAGGAATGTACTTCAATGCGACTGAACAAGCGGCTAGCAAAGCCATCACGATGTAGACGGTCAGGAGACGGGTGCTGATCATCTGAACAATATGAATAGGCTTAACTCTTTTATTTACTGCCTTTTTCTTCTTAATGGCAAGGTATGTTGCGAAATATAACTCGTATGAAATGCTGAGATACTTGCAAAACTCCGGACCACAGGTGTATGCAGTGGGGAACGAACACGCGCTGTTGTCCTTACCGGGGAGCAGCGCACTTCACCACTACACCATCAGGGTCCGAATATGAATAGGCTTTAACAAGATTACGGAAAAGAGCTGATGTTATGTCACACTTCTAGCAGATGGGAAACCCACCGTTTTAAAGTAGAGGAGGTCGACTGATATTCCGAAAAAGGCGTAACAATGATACAAAATCGGACTTGCATCTCTTTAAATGCCCAAAGCTTGATAAGTGTTGTTTCCATCCACATTCTTCCACGTCATCATTTGCTTATCAGCACTTATCATGAGTAAACCGTGTTATTGAACGGGTAAAGCCGGTGTGTGATTTGAGTGATTTTTTGCACAGATAAATCTAAGTGAAGAACGAATGCGCATTGAGAATGAGATGCACGGTCGAGAACGTACAAGGGCGCTCATATTGAAATCAACGTGCATGACCGTGAAAGGAATGAAATGTTAGTACCGGGTAACTCTACTTCATTCCGTCAGTGCTCCACTCTACTCAGTTCGTCTCGATGCGACAGTTACAAAAACCGAAATCGAACTACTGTGAACGCACGATTCGAATCGTCGTGGTTTTAAGATTAACGTTAGCTGGCATTCGGATCATATAACAAATTTTTCATTTCGTATCTCACTGGGAGTTGCGTGCGCAGGTTGGTGCTAAAGTCGACAATGTCGAAGGACCAATTGCACGACCAGCAATAGGCCAGCCTCAGTACTCTGCACACTGGGTGCTCCCGTTTATGACGTCAGGCGGTGAGACGATCGGTGAGAGCAATAAGTAAATCCTTGGAATCCCGAGGTCAACCTGGCCAAAGTCTGCTCCAGGTCTTCACCACCACATGCAGTCTCAGTCCTTGTGGATCAGAGGGAGATTTGCCACCATGCGACTTTGATACCAAGACGGTGGTGGATCCTCGTATTGGTATACTCTTAGCTAGGTTTCCTGATGGAAACGCCGGAATCCTTCTCAGCTTGGGAGACCTTGCCAGGTGATGAATCTCCGCTGTACATCGCAGTCCCTACACCCAGGAACACCTCCCAGCCAAGATGAGGCGGTAAGTCGTTGGGAGGAATGGAATATCAATTAGTGGTAAAGACGGACGGCGTGCGCTAACTGCTAGTCAGTTCGCTGCTTAGATAACAACATCATGATAATGCTTCTACATCATCTGAATTGCAATCGAAAAGTCAATGTCGAAAATTGAACAACGAATGGATCAAAGTGGCAAGCGCTAGAAGTTAAAAGTTATCAGTTATTTTGCAGTTGGAAATTGGATTATCAATATGTCCCGTTTCACACTTATTTACCTAAATTTATAAGCTAGTATCTTCTGATGGTTTACCAATCCCTCAACGTTCAAGGTTGGTCCTATCACCAATTGTGTTGACGGGCCCACGGATAGAATAGGCTGGCTTATAAAACTAATTCTCATGCAGTCGCTGAAACACATCCTGTCGGGTGCTGTTTGTTATCTTGACTACATCGCCGATACTCTTGAAAGCTTCCCAAGGCCCTTGTATGCTCCTGCTCGACTCTGGAGCTAAGCAGCTCATCACATTGATTCTCCAGCCTAAATAGACGTAGCTGGAGCATTCGGAGATATTCATTCCGTTAATGGGGCATAAGTAACCAATCCCCTCCTCATGAACATCGTATTTGCGAGTATCGAAGTCGGCAAGCACTCGCTCATCTTGTCTAATGTTTGATGTTATAGGAACGATGTTATCAGCGAAGCGAAAATGGTATAATTGCCGGCCATCGATTTTCATTCTCAATGTTGTCCCATCCCAATCTTCGCATGACGTCCTCTAGTATGGCGGTATTCAGTTTCGGTGATGTGGTATCGCTTGGACTAACATCTGTGTTTGGCGTCGATATTAATATCGTTGTAGAATGTCACATAGACATATACATAAAAAAAACCTATAACGAAATAAAACGAAAGTGGTTTAATCATCCACCATTCATTTTCACTCCCATATTGTTCCACTGCAGTGTTCAAGTAACGTTCTGGGATAGTGACAGTAAAAATATTGTCGGAATGCAGCGACCTCGGGTGGCCCCTCTTTTTACCTTCACGTGAATATCGTTATAGAATGGCGATATTTTAGCTGCGAATCATTTACGCAGTTCACGAGGAATCTTTGTATTCGGGGTAGTGACTCGCTGATTATCCAGGCCATCCACAACTGCACATGTCTCACCTGAGACAAAAGCTTTCCTATGATCAACAAAAGTGAGACAGAACGGTCACTTGTACTCTCGTGGTACGTCAATGAGCCTTGTCATTGCGTGGACTTGATCCATCGTATTGAATCGCTTTCGGAACCCTGCTTTCTCGCTTGGCTGCTTTTGGCCCAGGGTTCTACTAATCCTGCTCAGGATGAGACGGGTGAAAAGTTTGTTGACGACAGACAGCAAATAGCATATTTCAAACAGCCACTAGTGTGTGAAAAGGAAGAGAGCAGACGAAAATATCCTCTAGCTTCAAGCGAGAAATAGCTACTCCCAATGGTTACGAAAATGTTGCCACTCGGAACGCGTTTTGAGGCAAAACCGCTCTACAGAACGATAGATTTAGTGGAAATAGGGTCCGTTTCATCCCGCTGTTCGTTTCCAATGAAATGTATAGAGCCACGGAATTTGATAAGTAGCTACTGTTACTCAATTGAGAACCATCGTGGCCGCCGTGGTTTTTGATGAAAACTTCATCTGTTGATTTTGCACGAACTCAATCTGTAGCAACAGAGTCACTGGAAAGCAATACGGATAGAATTGTTTTAGAATTCACTGGTTCAAAAATACAAGCATCCGAATTCATTCTTAGAAAACGAATTTCGAATCGTGCAGCCTGGTTACGTAAGGTGACGAACGAGCAAGTGCAACGTGAAACATACATTAGCCGTATATAGGGATCTCTGTAAACATGGTCTATGCGGTTGACTGATCACTAAAGGGGTTTCACTAATTTCTGAGGCATCATAAAGGTAAAGGTTATGTTCTTTGTGAATTACCTGAACACAGCATTGGTCTACAGCCTGGAGTTGTTTCACCTGTGTGATCTAGGAGGCTTCATAGGCTCTTTATCCCTATGCCAATCAATATGAAACATGACTAGTAGATAGCACCAGTCTTCTGCGACCTCTTGCCATCATAAACCAAGAAGACAGCCTCTCATTTTGAATTCGATAGCAACAACCGGTTAACACGAACTGGTCATTAAAGTGAATATCTTCCAAAACAACGAGAAAATTGGCTACTTATACAAAGGTTAAACGGTGGATGGTGGATATCGATATCGCAGGAATTTTCTTCTTGTTATCTATATCCACATTTCTTTTTCAGGCAAGTATTTCTTAGCCAAGCATCGCTGGTTGAGGACCAGTCTCCTACAAAAATATGTGGAGACATTCATAGTCAGTTTGCAGGTTTGTAAAGAGGTTTCGGTTACTGCAACTCTAAGAGGATTATTAGCTACTGCCAGACTATTTCATTCCTTTCTGACAAATTTCCACGTTTACCCTAGATCTTCTGTGATTGTTTAATCTAGGTAGTTTTCCGCCGATGGTTAATTACCCATTTCTTGGTGACTACGCTGTGCGCATCCATCAAAATCTTGAATGCATTGCGCCATTCTTCAGCGGTAAGGTGAAATGCAGTTCTTTGGAACAATTTCATGGTTCATCCATCTATTTAACTGCTTTCGAGTTTTGGTCAAGTATCCGGGTAACTTCTTCATTTTCCATGGAAGCCATGAATGCGCCCCGATTAATCGAGTGTACGGCTTCTTTGAAGAATGCAACAGGCGTTACAATACCACGCGATTATGGCTCGGTTTTCAGGTTCTTCAATTCTCTTTTTCATCTTGGAATGCCACCTATTTTATTTGGTCCGCAGTATGAAATAGGAACGGAAGCCTCATTTCAGGAAGCACTCGCAGTGATTCCATTCCAAATTCTTTGCATGCATGGTGGCTTGTCTCCCAGTGTTATTAGAATGCCCACTTACCAAAAGGTATTTAGATATTTTGTGCGGAAAGAGAGCACATCTTTACAGTAAACGTCTCTGGATCAACTACGACAAATCACTCTCCCCATTGATCCCGCAAACCCATCTCTGCACATCGATCTCTTATGGAGTGGCCAAGATCACTGTGTTGAGGTAAGAAATACAATCTTTATAAATTTATTTATATGATCTTATAAACTGATCTTCTTAAGCTGACGCGAGGTTGGTACAGATCTTCGTTGTCGTTATCGTTGTCGTTGTTTTTGATGTTATTGAACGATGGCTGACGTTTCGGCGACTTCGCCTTCCTCAGAGCCTGGACGTACTTTATGTTAGAATACGTTTTATTATTCGGTGGAAAAGAAGGTTAAAGTGTTAATGAAGATCAAACTTTCAAATAGACGCCATATTGAACAGAAAGG